TCAGCTGGACTTGAACATGTCGCAGAGGACTCGCTCGATGGGGGTGTTGCCGACGGTGCGCTTGAAGAAAATCTCCTGGACGGCCGTAGCTGACACATGACCCAGCGCCGGGAGCAGTAGCAGGAGTTTGCCAGCTCTGACTCTGCCCCCAGCACCGCACACCTTGCTGGCCAGGTACTGCAGGAGGAAGATGCAGTCATGTTAGAACGAAAGGACCTCAGGAAGGCAGGACTACATCAGCAGGAAGATACAGCCATGTTAAAAGAGAACGAAGAACCTAAGAATGCAGGACTACTGCAGCAGGCCTACTGACCTATGCTAGGCAGATCCACTTAAAACCAACCTTAAACATTCTTTATACGCACACAACACACACACACACACACAACCAACACACACACCACCACACACACACACACACACACACACACACAGCGTCATTCAACAGTGTTACACAAGAGTAGCATCACGTAACAGTAACGTCACGTTAAGACAACTTCACTTACTTCGTGTAACATCAACTGGGTCTGATCCTGTAGCACCTCAACTCCGTATCCGTCACGCAGTCCACGGGCCTCTGTAACACGTCAATAACGTAACTAAAGTGCGTAACAGCGTCAGGCAGGCGCTCCGTAAATTATGGTCACTCAACAAAAGGTTTTAAGTAACGCAGAGCGTTACGTAGACAGTAAATGATTGGTTATCATAAATGATTCGTTGTAACATCACAAGAGCACTTAAGTAACACTAATAACATCCCTAAGGAGAAAAATAAAAATAATGACGTAACAGTGATATTAAACTAACAATAAGAACAAAGCTGCGAAGGAAATTAACATTAACTACAACACAAGGGAAAGAGAGTAACAGTAGCAGCAGTCTATGAAGACTGAGACAGTGAAGAAGGGGATACAAGTGGGCTACGAGAGGGCTATGAGGATGGGCTGTACATGAAGGGGCTGGGCACTAGGGAACTAGATGTAAATTGTTTCAGCCAGGGTACTGGAACTTACTTTTCTTGTAAGAAAATAGAGAAATTTCCAAAACAATTATTATTATTATTATTAATATTATTATTATTATTAGCATTATTATTATTAACATTATTATTACTAACATTGTTATTATTATTATTATTATAGCCAAGGGTAGCATCAGTCCATGAAGGTCACACAGCACCTCAGAATGAGAGGACTGGAGGGAGGGGGGAGTAGTCGAGGTTGATCCGTGGAAAGAGAGAATCAAGAGCCCTTCACCAGTGTCAAGGACTGATTGAAAATTCCGATGCACCGCCGATTACGCAGACGCTCAGGAAATTCTTGAATATTGAGAGGGAGATCCGAACAGTTTCTGAGTTCATTAAGCACGTTAATTTCAGACGAATTTTCTCCCCCGAGGTCTGCACATGAGGGTAAAAATTCCTCGGGAACTAACAACCACTAGGAAAACCAGAAATGCCTACAGCTCATTTCTCCCCCGGTGGGGGGGGGGGGCAGTAAGCAACGGGAGGCGTAACAGTAACTCCATCTCCGTTGGAAGGAAGCGCTTTTTAAAGCTGCCGTGACTGTTGAAGCCAGAGTGTAGTGAGGAATGACGTCCTCATTGTTGAACTGCCGACCACCACCTCTGTCTGACACATTTTATCACCTCATTTATGAAACCTATACTGTGTGGTGGTTTACGATAGAGAAACTCATACTGTGCAACAGACTACGATAACCCATCCTGTGTGGTGGAATACGACAGAGAAACTCATCCTATGGGAAGGAGTATGACCGGAACATCCCAAGTGATGGAATTTGACACAGAACCAATTGTGTGTGATGGAACATGAAAGGGAACCCATTACAAGTGATATAATGTAAGTAGCAGAGCCACCGAGTATGATGGAGTATGATAATGAAAGTGACCAGTTTTTGTCAACGCAATGTAACCATAACGTAGAATAAGGCAGCAGCACACTGCGGATGTAACTGATCTTACTGCAAAGAGTAAACAAGAGGAGCACTGACCTGGACGGAAAAGTATAAGTGCCTTGAGACAAGCATACTCTGTGTGATCCACTCTGAGTGCGTGGAGCCTGGTGATGACGTCCCTCATAGCCTCCACCTCCCTGGCTAGACCAGCCTCGTGCTCCACCGAGGCTCCAGCACCTCGGACTAGGCTCCCTGTAAAGGAGGGGAGGGTGGCAGGTGAAGATAACTGTGGTAACAAGCTTCCTGTGAGAGGAGAATATTAGTATTGGTTCTGAGGGAAGATGATTGAGAGTGACCAGTATTTCCCTCCAGTATTAAACATTGTACCAGTTCCAGGGAACTGAAGCAATCTACACGTCCTTTTTTTTACGTTTCGCTACCAAATTTAACAATAAACAAGGTGAGAGTAGCTCGCGAGGCTGCTGTCTAATAATTTCAGACGAATTCGAACTTGTCTCCCCCAAAAAATCATTTAAAATATGACAGTTAGTGCTTGAAGAACCTGAGTGAGTGTGGTATTAAGG